GACTATTTCTATACCTGTTATTTGCATGCCTGATACCCAATATTTCATTCATTTTTTTTTTTTTGATGGAACAAGTAAGAATGGAGGTGATTTTAATTCTGGACTCGAGAAAAATGAGCCTACCACTTCCCAACACATATTTTAGGGTAAAAATGTGTTATCAGGTTGTAAAAGCAAAAGCTCTATGACCATTTTGATTGTTACACCGACTCTGCCAACTTGTAATCTGTAAATTTAGTGATGGAGCTCTGTATATATAATGTAAATATAATCACATAGGTAACTACTGTTGTTCTCTTGAAACAAGGGCTTCTCACAGTTGGACACTGATCCAGCAAATAGTATCATTGTAACACATAAGCAAGCAACCACAGAGAGGCTCCTTAGCCACACAGATTCTTAGGATTGTGGGCTTCCAAATTACCACCAAGTCTATGAAAAACTTCTGGAAGTGAATGAATCAAGTAAGATATGTACTCGGGATCATTCACATATTTTTAGTCACATTGAAAGTTATCTGTATTTATACATATATACGTTATCCAAATACCGACAGGTAATAAATTTTGACATTTGGCTTAAAGGTCTACTAATCTGTTTGAAATTTAAAAAAAAAAAAACTCTTTTTTATTATGGAGCTGACTATAAGGTGCTGATATCAGGACATGTATTCAAGAAGTTTATTTAACTGGAGATATACTAGGAAGTATTACTTTGAAGCTGAATTTATGGTAGTTTCTTACTCCATATAGATTATATTGTAGCCATCCTAGTTTTGATGCAACAATCCATTCTGTTTCCTGCATATTTTTTTTTCTTCTTACAATGTTGACTTGAACATCATAGAATTTAAACAATGGGGGCTGGCACAATTTGCTCAATTTGCTAATCCTCCACCTCGTAATGCCAGCATCCCATATGGGTGCCAGTTCATGCCCCGGCTGCTCCACTTCCCATGCAGCGCAGCTCCCTGCTTATGGCCTGGGAAAGCAGTCAAGGACAGTCCAAAGCATTGGGACCCTGCACTTTTATAGGAGACCTGGAGGAGGCTCCTGCCCTCTGGCTCCTGCTTCCTGGCTCCTGCCTCCTGGCTCCTGGCTTTAGATCAACTCAGTTCAGGCCATTCCAGCCATTTGGGGATTGAACTAGCAGATAGATGATCATTCTGTCTCTCCTTTCTGTAAATCTGCCTTTCTAATAAAAACAAAATTCTAAAATCTTTTAAAAATTAAGAGTATAGTGTTATTTTGTTTCTTCTTAAAGGATTATTACTGCTATTAAAAAAAAATCATGAACTTCAAATTTTTAAAATATTTCCAAATGTGAGTTGGATATTTATTTGGGTAAATTAAGTCTTTGTTGTTTTTCCAGGAGTCTTAGTAGGTTTGGAAATTGGAGAGATCTCTGAAAGACCACATGGGTGTTCAAACAAGTAAGTTGTAATGTTACTACATTCCAAACACTTTTTTCCAGTTATAAATATGTAAAACCAAATATGGTTTAAATATGTGGAAATATATAAATACATAATTGCAAATATACTTAGGCTAGAACAATCAGTTGAGGGAAAAGAATGGAGTTATTTAGCCATAAATGTTTTGCATAATTGCTAGAAATGAAACCCAAATTTAATTCTAGAATTCCTGTAGAATTTTAGAAGACTAAAAATTGCTAGTTACAAAGACAGAATAATACCAGTTCTTCAATGGAAGCCAGGATTTATGTCTTACATCATAATTTTTGAACAACCAGAATAAGTCAATGAGCAAAGGCAATTATACAAGATGCTTATGTTCACCTTTCTATTTCTAATCATTTTCCCATCCTCCTCCCCAAATAAACCACTGTCTTGACTTTAAAAAAAAAGATTTATTTATATTGGAAAGGCAAATATACAGAGAAGAGGAGAAACAGAGAAGATCATCCGTCAGATGGAAGCGGCTGCAACGGCTGGAGCTGAGCCAATTCAAAGGCAGGAGCCAGGAACTTCTTCCCGGTCTCCCCGCCAGGTGCAGGGTCCCAAAGCTTTGGCCCATCCTCGATTGCCTTCCCAGGTCACAAGCAGGGAGCTGGATGCAAAGCAGGGCTGCTGGGATTAGAACCAGTGCCCACATGGAACCCTGTGTTCAAGGTGAGGTTTTTAGCCACTAGACTATCGTGCTGGGCCCTGTCTTGACTATTATGGTGACAAATTCTTAGGTTCATCTTTACAGTTGTAACCATTAAGTTAGCATTCATACACAATTTGATAAGTGTGTCCTGGAGGTCATGTTCTACACACGTGGAGATGTGCGGAACTGTAGCTTTGTTAAGTTTATGTTTGTCACCTTTTCCATGTTGTTGTATGGAGCTATAGTTTTTCATTGTCATGTAGCTTTTTCCAAAGACTTATTTTTATCTGAAAGATTGAGTTAGAGAGAGATTGAGAGACAGAGACAGATTCTCCATCTGCTGATTCACTCACCCAGTTGACAGCAATGTCCAGGGCTTTTGCCAGGCCAAAACCAGGAGCCTCAAGTTTTCCCATGGTCCCAATGTGAGTACAGGATCCCAAACTTGGACCATCTTCTCCTGATTTCCCAGGTGCATTAGCAGGGAGCTGCATCAGAAACGGAGAGGCCAAAACTCAAACAGGTGCCTTTATGTGATGCTGGAACTGCTAGTGGTAGTTTACAGTACCGTGCTACAATGCTGACCCTAACATGTAACATTCTATTGTTCAGCATGGCTTAATTTATTTGTTACTCTGCTCTTGAAACACAATTGGAATAACGTCGAATGATATTGCTAACAGCATTTATAAAAAGCATTTGATGAACAAGTCTATGCATTTCACTGGTTATATCCCTAAGAGTGAGACCTCCAGACCAAGAATTCTACTCCCCAGTGGTTCTAGCAAGGTGTACACTCACCACCAACACATGAGTTCACATTAGATTATGTCCTTGTTACCTGTAGTGCCCATCTCTTTCATTTTAGCCATTCTGAGATGGTTCTGAAACACACTTTTCTGATTAACAAGGAAGTTAAACACTTCACTATATTTCTGTGAACCATTTAGGTTTTGTCATCTGATGAGTCTACTCTAGTGTCTTTCCCATTCCCCTCATGATGAGATTAAGAACAAAAAAAAGATTTGAAAGGCAGAGTGTCAGACAAAAACAGAGAAAGACCGAAATCTTCCACCTTATTCACTCCTCAAATGCTCCCAGTACCTAGGACCAAGCCAGGCCAGTAAAGGGCTAGGGGCCAGGAACATCATCCATATCTCCCACTACTTCTGCCATTATCTGCTGCCTCCCACACAAAAAAGTAGGAAGTTGGATAGGAAGTGCAGAGAAGCTGGGATGTAGACCAGGCTTTCCAAAATGGCATGCAGACATCCCAAATGGCAGCTTAACGTGCTGCATCGTAACACAGTCCTTTAAAGCAATGCTTATTACACATCTTATAATACATATAATCTCCCAATCCGTGTGTTTGCTTTTGCTCTAATGCTGTTTGTATAGTCAATAGTTCTCAAGATATCAGCATAATGAAGACAAATTTATAATTCTTTTTTTTGTTTGATAGTATTTTCATTCTGTTAAAAATTCATTCACTGTTCAGAATACTTTATGTCAGCATATAAAACACTTTATTTTATAAATAAGTTTATAATCAATTTGCATTTCAGTTGGGGTACATTTTGAAGTTGGGACCACAACTTTTCTATGTGAACATTAAATGGACCAAGCACAATTGATCTTTTTATATGAGAGGATTTTTTTTCAAGGTTTGTTTATTTACTTGAAACGCAAAATGACTGTGTGTGTTTATGTGTCAGTGTGTTAGAGATTTTTCATCTGGTAGTTCATTTCACATGTGCCCAAAACGGCCAGGAGTGGATAAACCAAAACCAGCAGCCAGGAGCGCTGTCTGGGTCTCCTATGCGAACACCAGAAACCCAAGTACCTGCTGTATTTCAGGGCAGGAACTGTACAAAGGGCAGGAAACTGGATAGGAAGAGGCAGGATTCAATCCCAGTCACAGGTTTACCCTGCTCTGTCACTCACTTGTCCATATGCTATTTATTTTCAAAACGTTTTTCCATTGCTGAGGAGTACTCCATTACTGTGGAAGCTGGTTTCAGGCTAGCTGATCTCTTCCACCTTCTTATCTATACTTTTACCATATAATGATACCGTAACTGCTAAAACTTTACATAAACTCTTGATAAGCGGTTATCTCAGTATACTGAATTTACAGCAAGCTTGTTTACTGTTTTCCCTGTAGCAGATGACATGGCTCCGGACGGCATCCCACGTAGGAGGGCCTAGCATCCCCTTTTACAGGCGCTGCGGGAGGCAGTTAGCAGGCGCTCTGGGATGGCTCAGAAACTTGGGTCTCTGCCACCCTCCTGCGAGATTCAGATAGACTCCAACACCTGATTTAGGTCTGGTTCAGCCCTGGCTGTTGCGGACACTTGGAGAATGAAAAGGGAGATGGAAGTTCTCTGTTTTTCCTCTCTAAAACTCTGCCTTTAAAATCAATAAATCTTCCAATAGCAACGTTTTCCTATTTTTTCCATGCACACTATAATCACCTACAAGAAATACATAAAATTCCCTCTTGAGCTATACTTTGTATTTCCTCTTCTCGAGCGATGCTAAGAACTATAGTGAGCTGAATCTGATTCACGTGCATTTTGGTTGCAGCGGATTCAGTCTCCCGCCCACCTCTCAGCCTCCGGGGCTGGACCATTGCTGCACCTCCCCAGGTCCGCCAGAATCAGAGCCTCAACTCCGCCTCCCGAGCAAGCGCCGGCCTGGACTGCGGAAGTCCGCCCCGCCCGCGCCCTCAAAGTTCCGCCCCCGTCCGAACGCAGCCAATCATCGGCCGTCTCTTGCGCGCGAACTACCAAACAAAATGGCGGCGGCCTTTGGCGCGGAGTTCGGTTTGTAGGACCGTGGTTTTTAACTTCTCCCGTGACAAAATATGAAAAGTGACTGGTGGAGTGGGGAGGGGATCGTAGGCAATGAGTCGCCGAAGAAAACATGGGGACAGTCCTGCCCCGAAGAAAACGCCGCTGCAGGCGGCGGCGGCTGAGGAATGCAGCTCGGTGGTCGAGCCCGGGAGAAGGCGGCTGAGGTCGGCCCGCGGCTCCCGGCAGCAGCGCGTGGCGGGAGAGGGCTCTACCTGGCCATGGCGGCCGCGAGAGCAGCGTCCAGCAGCCGCCTGGTGCAGTAAAAGTGACCCCAAGGGTGAGACGTCGGCAGCGCGCCTCGCCGGGGCCCTGGCGCCGAGCCCCATAGCTCAGCTTGTCACAGGAAAAGTCGGGGCGGGGGTGGCTCGGGCACTGTGTTGGGTGGGCTTCAACCCCTCGCGAGTCCCCCAAAGAAGCCTGTCTTGTCTGAACAGCGCCGCCCACTCGCCCTCCACAGGAGTGGATGATGGAGTTTACCTGTTCGGGGGAACACGGGTCATTTCTAGACTGCCCGTCCAGTCAGCTGTGTGGAGCTAGCCAAGTGGCGAACAGGCCTGTTGCGCTGAGCTCACTTCCAGAGGAATCATTCCCCCCAAACGTGTGTGCTCTGACTTGGTTCAGAGAGGGGGTCACCTAGGGGCTCCTCTCCTCAGAGCCTCCGTGGCGTCTCGCCTGGGAGGGAATGCACCGGAAGTGGCCGTGGATGACCTCCCCGGGAGGGGCAAACCCAGAGCCCCTTCCATTCTGCTCAGTGTAGTGGGGGGAGGGGGGGTGTCTAGTTTAAAAAATTCCTAACGCATCTGCTAGGAACGAGAAAAGCCTTGTTTTGGAGTGTGTTTTTAAAATACAAGTTTTGTTAAGTTTACATGCCTTTCACTTACTCCCGTTAAAGTCATACCAAAGCAAATCTCTGTTGAAATTTAAGTGATTTTAGGCAAAACTTAAAGCAATATTTGAAACAATTCATGTAGGTTGGACTTCTTGAAGATTCTGTTGAAATGCTTATATTTTAAAATATGTGTATAAATAAAAAAAAAGGGGGGGGGTTCTACAGTGTCTCTAAATGCTCCAGTAAATGGAGAATTTTGTTATACAGTATTATTCATTCATGGACATACTAGTATCTCTAAAGATATTTACTGCTGCAAAGTCAAATTTGGTTTTGATGTGACAGACATTTCAGTTGTAGTTAAACTAATCCATTTGTCTAGGCGACAGTTTTATGTTAAGGTAGCCTGAGCAATTTTTTTTGACTTTGGGGTATTTTGAAGTAGATAAGCAATACTTGACAATGTTGTTGTTTTAATCATATTTTATTTAGAAAGATATAAGACACCAAGGAGAATGGTACACATGGATTTGCCATCTGTCTTCAGTTCTCCTAATGATCCAGATGGACAGAGTGATATCTTTTGGGATCAGAACTCTCCCATGACAAAACAGCTAGGTAACTTGTCATTAACATTGTTTATGTGGGTCAGTACTTGATATGCTTGGGTTTGTAAATAGTTTCAAGTAATAGCAGGAACTGTTGTGATGCTTTTGAGAATATTACATGATTTTATTTGGTAAGAGTGATGTTAGAGTGCATAGTCGCCATATGCTGACAAAAATCATTTTTATAAAGAGTAACATTTTTAAATGTGTGTGTTTGTTTTAAAAGTATACAAGAGTTTTTGTTTCTTCAGGTAAAGGAAGGAAACAACGTATTTCCACCACAGAGAATGATGAAATTTCACATATTGTTAATCGAATCGCTCCTCAGGTAAATGTTACTTATCCTATGGCATATTGTAACAGTGAAAAGTGCCTCCAAGTCTTGCAAGAACATAATAAAAGTAGATAACATAGTATTTCCTTAGCAACCACAATACACACTGGCAGGGGGTCCTAGAGCCCCTGTAAGATGCCAAATTCCAAGAAGCCCACATTCTTTGTATAAAATGGCCTAGTGTTTACATTTAACTTAGTACATTCTCCCAGGTGCTTTTAAATCGTCTGTAGATTACCTGTAATACCTAACATTAATGTAACAGTTATCTGTATAATTGTTGTACAATGTTTGTCTAAGAAAAAAACATTGGAAAGAAAAGAATGTTCTACATATTCAGTACAGTTTTTTCTACTTAGAATCTTTTCAGTCTTTTTGGCTGTTAACTCAGGGACATGGAGGGCTGACCATTTTCATAGGTGTATGTTTTAATTTTTTTTAATGATGTATGACAAGAGCTTGATATTTATTTTGTCATGAATGTGATTAGCTACATGTGGCATCATTTTTCGGGCTACTAAAAATAGAATAATACATCTAGTACAACTTTAAACTGTTGCGATCTTTTGTGATTAGTATTTGTTTACTGTCTGTACTACAGATTTTCTTACCTGTATACTGACATAACATCATCACGAAGCACTTAAAAAATGCTGATTTTAGATTTTGTGTTCTTTCAGCCTCTTATGCTGTGTGACTGTAGATGAGTTACATAAACTTTCACAATTACACTTCATTCGGCCATACACTAGAATCATTACTTGTCTTATTTTCTTCATGGGGTCACCATAAGGATTAAATTAGATAAAGATTATAAGCTATACAATAATTAAATATTTACTTATTTTAAGATTGTATATTGTGATGGTTTAAGTTATTTTCTGTAATAGAGCCATCATCAAGTTTTTTTCATTTCCATTTATTTTAAATGGACTAGAAATAAGTTTAAGTGATTTGATGGCAGAGGAATCTAGTAACTAGTGGCATTTATCCTATTAGTCATATGATTATTACTAAGAAATGTAAACTTAATGTATGAAATTGCTCATAATTTCTTTATTTTCCCCTTTTTATTTTTTAACAACTTCTAAATCCAGAGGTCAACCAGTTTTAACTTAGTGTCTTTTCTGAAAGAAATGTGATAGTTTGCCTTAATATGTTCTCGAAGGGTTACTGTATGTTAGCTGTAAACAGTAGGTAACAGTGGCCCAAGAAGTGGTTAGAAGGGATCACCTTTAGTGAAGGAGCCAAGAAGTAACTCTTAACATCTATACAATATCCTAGTCATGACTAGTGAAGTCAAAAGAAGAGTGTTGCTCTTAGCCATACATCCCACATCCTATGCTTGGCATGGTCTAGACATTTGTTTTGCATACCATTCATTAGTTAGGTAGCATCTGTGCTGTTCTGTATGAGCTAATAGTAGATCTTCATTATTTGTGGCTTTCTCATGAAAGAAATACAATAAAATCTATTTGGGCTGGACTGTTGGCCTAAATAGACTAGAAATAATATGTTACATAAATAAGCGGCAACGGTATATAAATGGTAAAATGAATAAAAGAGAAAGTGCATTGAAATTAGTTGCTTAAAAAATTACCTTCCTTCCCCCCAGATAGAGAAAGAAGAAAAAGAAAAAAATTGTCTCATTCACTTTCTCCTATTCCTCAGCCCATCTCACCTTAATTTAGTGGTCCGTGTGGGCATGCATTCTCAACTATGTAGAATAGACTCCGGTGAAGGTCTATGTTTCTGACTTTAACTTGGCTCAGCTCCAGGCGTTGTAGCCATTTGGAGAGTTGAACCAGTAGATGGATATACCCAGAAAGATCTTTATCTATAACTCTACCTTCCAAATTAATAAATAAATCTTAAATTTAAAAAAAAAATGGCTGCTTGCCTCTCATCTAGTGACAAGGTTACTTTTATCTTCTAACTTATGTCTGTTCTAGTTATTATAAAAATAGAATTGAAAAATGTTAATCTGCTTACTTCTTAGTTTGTAATTGTTCATCAAGCTCAGATCCATTCTGAATGTTTTGTGTAATTAACTGAAAATAGCAAAAATATCCAGATGTGAAGGGCTTTTTTTCTGAAGTTCATTCTTGTTAGCCATTTTTTGCTTTCTCTATTTATTTTTCTTCTTACTCCTTACTTACTTTTGGCATTAATTCTACACTTGCACTCATCTCTCAGCCCACTGTCTACCATACCGGTTTTGCAAAATGTATTATAACAGGGCTCACCATGATGATTCAGTTGACTAATCATCCCCATGCAAAGGCCAGGATTCCATATGGGCACTGGTCCTGTCCTGGCTGCTTCACTTCCCATGCAGTTCCCTTACTTGTGGCCTGGGAGGGCAGCGGAGGATGGCCCAAAGTCCTGGTCCGCGTGGGAGACCTGGAGGACACTCCTGGGTTCTGATTGGCTTGGCACCAGCTGTTTGGGGAGTAGACTAGTGGATAGAGAATCTTAATGTCTCTCCTCTCTGTAAATCTACCTTTCCAGTAAAGATAAGTAAATATTTTTTAATGTGTTTTTAACAACCGAAATAAGGCACTTTTCTTTAAACACCTGATTTTACTGTTGTGCATTTTGTGCATTTAATGACAAAAAATTTCTGAAACTTAATATTTTTTTAAAAATTAGGAACTCTCAACTCTGTTTTGAATACCTGAAAGAAATGGATCATATTTTACAACCTGATGTTGCGACCCCCCAACCTTGTATTCAATTTGGTAGCTGTCACCTCACTAGAATGTAATACATTAGGGAATATAATTCAGAATCTTTAGTTTTAATTCTCTCCTTGTTTTTTATGTCCATCTTTCTTTTTTTTTTTTTTTTGGGTATTTTTTTACACTATTTTCCCCACTTCCTGTGGTACAGGATGAAAAACCAACAACAAACTCTATGCTAGGTGTATGGATTGGTGAAACTGCTATTCCTTGTACTCCCAATGTAGCAAAAGGAAAATCAAGAGTAAAAATCAGCTGTACAAGGTAAGTTTAAACTTTTCTAATTTTCTGAGTTGTAATACAATATTTTGTAATGTATTTTTGATAATACTCTTTTCATTTTGTGAATATATCTAGTTAATAAAATTCTCTTCATTTTGACATATACATTTTTAGAGTTTAAAATTATGATGCAAGTGTTAAGACTTGGGAGTATTACTACAAAAATGTTTGTTAAATGGCTATAATTTATAATGAATCAGCATATTTCTTTGTTATAACTTTTTAATTTTGTTTAATAGGCTAAAAACACAAAATCGAGAGCAAGAACTTATGAAATTGGCTAAACAATTTGATAAAAATATGGAAGAACTGGATGTTATTCAAGAGCAAAACAAGATGAGTCATGATTTTATCCAAACAATTTCAGAAACAGAGACTTTAAATAATTATAAAGGTGATGAACAGATGAAAGTATTATGTGATACAATTCCTGAAATAGATAATGTATCTTTAGCAGATGATCAAAATAGCAGTCAGAAGTCATTTGACCAAAATGCCGAAGCAGCTTTTAATGCCATTTTTGATGGTTCTACTCAGAAATGTAGCGGACAATTAAGCCAAGACTTGTCAGATGCAGTTTTGAACACGAGTAATACAACATGTGAAAAGAAAAGTACCTTGAAAGAGGAGAGACTCATTACTGCTGAAACTCGGCTCACTGAAAAACTACCCAGTAAAAGCACAGCTGCTGCTTCTCAACTGAATATTCCCACGGAGACACAGCCGCGTGTGACTTCCTGTTTGGCTGAGCCAGAGGCTCCTACTGAGCATGTGGATACATTTATTACCAGTGATTTTGAGGATGAGTGGGAAAACATGCTAGATAATGAGCCTTTTGTTATGCAAACTATAGAAAGAACTGAACAAAAAGAAACTAGTTCCTTTACTAATATAAATAGTAAAAGTAAGTCAGCAATGAATATGTGTGTATATGATAGGTTAAGAAATGCAAAAATGTTGCCAGATCTTGATTCAGAGACACATAAGAGAGAATTAATTGGTGTTGGAGAACATAGAGTTCCACCAAATCCAAATGTTAAATCAAGCAAATTGCCATCCCTTGGAAATAAGATAAAATATGAGGAATCTTTCAAGAAAATTGTTGTTGAAGACAAAATTCAAGATTCTGCAGTTACATCTAATCTTAAAAAAATAAAGGAAGATAGTTATACTAAATTTATTGCTAATGCTTCCGAAAAAAAACTTGGTTTGAACAGAAGACATTCTAATGAACAGGAAAATAGGCCCATTTGTAATCAGAATTTTAAAGTACCTGGCCCCCTTTTCAATTCTGCAACTCTGGCCAATGACACCCATGTTAATAGCTCACATCAGGCTAATGTAGCAAAGATAGGTTCTTTTGTTGATGATTGGAATGATCCATCCTTTGCCAATGAAATTATTAAAACATGTCATCAGTTGGAGAATACCTGGGAAGCAGATGATGTAGATGATGATTTGCTATACCAAGCATGTGATGATATTGAAAGACTAACACAACAAGATACTATCCAGAACAGCAAGACATCAGAGAGTATACGTGAAGTCAGCAACTGCGCTAAACGCGGAGCCAGAAACTCCTTCACTATATCTAACCCAAGGAGTCAGGTGGTGCAATCAAATCATTGGAATCATGGCAGCATTTCACTGCAAACATCTCCCTTAACAAATAACCCACAGATATATAAATCAGCGAAGGCAGACAAATGGGAAGTGCGCAGAAATTCTCCAAGCTTCCTGAACACCACAACAAATTTGACCGTGAACTCTAATTTTTGGACAAGTAATTTACATGTCTCTGGGAATAACGTTACTTTTCCAAAAGCAATGAAAAGTTCCAAATCACATTTTGCTGGAAGTTCAACTTTGAGAGTGAATTCAGATATGATTACTACGTGTAAGAATGTTCAACAACTGTCCCCTAAGACCATGACAGATGCAACCCAGAACAACCTTAATGCAACACCCAGATGTTCTAAATACACGTTTACAAAGATGAAAAATTCTCAGGTTCTTTCTCAGTTTAACCAAAGTTGTGTAATAGAAAGTATGTCTGATACCAAAATTACACAGGGTTTGAAGAAAATGCAACCTGTCAGTCCATTAATTGAGAAACCAGATCAACAGCAATACTTGGTGAAATATTCTGAATCTTTAAAACATTCTTCAAAAGGTACGTATGAAATAGTTTTTAAAAAATATTTTGAAAAATAGTAAAACTGTTCTTGATTATAATTCATAAGGTAAAAATAGTATTCTGCTACAATTCTTTTTTTTTTAATTTATTTATTTTTATTTGATAGAGAAGAGAGAAAATAAGGAAGATCTTCTATCCGTTGATTCATGCCCCAAGTGGCTACAACAGCTGATGCTGCGCCAATCCAAAGCCAGGAGCCAGGAACCTCTTCTAAGTCTCCCACGCAGGTGCAGGATCCCAAGGCCTTGGGCCGTCCTTGACTGCTTTCCCGGGCCACAAGCAGGGAGCTGGAAGGGAAGTGTGGCTGCCAGGATTAAAACTGTAACCCATATGGAATCCTGGCGTGCAAGGCGAGGACTTTAGCCACTAGGCTACCATGCTGGGCCCTAAAATTCTTATGCAGGTGATTATGATATAATATACTGAAAAAGTGTAGATTTGTTTTTCAAAAGCTTACAATGGGAAGTATGTTTGCAATTTTGGATACTTATTAAATAATTAATAGGTCATTACAAAATTATCACCTTAAAAATTAGCTTGCTTTAGATTCAGTGAATTTTAGGCTCCGTCTGCAATTGCCTAGCAAGTCAGGTCAAATTCTTTTTCTGCATTCTGCATTTTTAAAAAAGAAAGAACCTGTTAGTATAAGATCTGTTATAAAACTCAGTGATAATGTATGGTACACTGTGGAATAGTGGACTAACCCTCTACTTGAGATGCTCATGTCCCTAATAGGAGTGTTTTATTTGAATCCGGCTATTCCAGACTTCTGTTGCAGCTTCCTACTAATGTTCCTAAGGAACAGCAAATGACAGCCCAAGTCTGCTCTCCTCGCCTGTATGGAAGACTCAGACCCCTTGGCTCCTGGCTTTGCTCGGCCTGGCCCTGTTGTGGGCTTCAATCAAGTGACCCGTGATTGCAAGTGCTCTTTTTGTCTTTCCTTCTCTGTCACTCTGCCTTTCAAATAAGACTCGTCTCATGGTGCTACTTGTGATGGTTACAGTTGTGAGTTATTTGATACTATCATTCATTCCTCTTTCTCCCAAGTCTCCTTTCCATTAAAAATTCTACTCTTTGTATCTCAAGGTTGTTTCAAGAGTGTCTATTTTTTTCACTACTGCTTCTACAATTACTAAAGCCACTGCTTTTTCACTTGAGTACTGAGGCTATTTTTTTTGTACTCCCTTTATATTTTCCAAATTACAGAATACTTTTATAACCAGTTAGGCAGACATGGCATTCTTGTGCTTAGAACAATTTCCAGTGGCTCTATATATAAAAGTTAAATAAAATCCAAGCTTTGCACTGGTAATCTGCAGAGTCCCAGATTATTCTTAGCCCGCCTTGTTTCGTCTTGCCTTCTTAGCCTGAGCTACACCAACTGTCCTCCCATTTCTCAAAGAGAATAGATTGTTATAGGTCAGGAATTTATACATTGTTATTCCTTTTGATAACCTACTCCTTCCCACCACTTGACTGCTCCACTCTCAGTATTTTATTGATATTTTCTTCCCTCCCCTTTTTAATATATATAGTTCAAGAGCTGTAGTAAATTCACACATAGGGAACCCTCACCACAATCAATTACAGAACATTTTTGTCCCTGGAGAACAAAGCATGTATCCCTTACATTTCACTGTATATATTTCTCACAGAGTCCTTTGAAAGGTTTTAAGTAGGTGGTCTTGTTTATTTTTCATAATTTCTTAATTCCTTTTCTCACAGGTTGCAACTAAATATTTAGTAACTTGTGTTTTATCAGTTAATACTTTGGCCTTCTATAGCATCTGGCACTTAAAAGATGCTAAATAAATATATAATTAAAAATCATGTAAAATGTGAAAAATCTGTTGTTCACTGATAGTTATTTTTTTGTCAAGAGGAAATGGCATAACTATTTGTGATCCTTGATGCTAATTATCAGCCTCATTTCTTTGCATATGCTGTTTCCTCACCAGACATACTTGGAAATGCTGTGTGTTTTTATTATAGATTGAGTTAAATGAAGGACAGAATGATAAATTAGATGATTCCCTGAGTCAAGTTTTCATATCATGTTTTCTATCATTTGAAATTATTTTCTAAATAACTCCAATCAGTTAAATGGCCAGTTTTAGAAAGTTACCTTCTTCAGCCTGGCGTGATGACTCAGTGGCTACATCTTTGCTTTGCCAGAGCTCGGATCCCATATGGGCGCCAATTCATGTCCTGGCTGCATCACTTACCTAGCTCCCTTCTTGTATCCTGGGAAAGCAGTAGAGGATGACCCAAACCCTGCATGTGGGACACCTGAAAGAAGCTCCTGGCTCCGGACTTCAGATTGGCTCAGTTCTATTGTGGCCCCTTGGGAGTGAACCAATGGAAGATCATTTTCTGTGTCTCTCCTCTATAAATCTGCCTTTCCAATAACAAATTTTTTTTAGTTACATTCTTTTCTTGTGGATAATTAGTACATTTTTTCCTTATACTTAGATCGAACTTGTGTGTTATGAGTGTTCTGAGTTTTTCCTTTTTTCTCATCTTTTAGATTAAAATATTGGATAATTAGACTAGCACATGCTCTAGTTTCTTTATGTACAGAAAACAACTAGTCTTTGTAAATAACTTGGAAAAGGCATAAATTCATTTGGGGAATTTATTTAAAGATTTTAAGTTTTACTATGAATATCACTTAATCCCATTTCTAATTATACCAACAAAGAAAGGTGGAATACATAGCATATTTAGGAAAATATCTTAGTTACCAACAGAAATATTTTATAACAAGTTCTTATCTTTCTAGGTTACTAAGTGTTTTTCTTCTGATACTACTGTAGATCCCTCAGATTTAGTTTTAATTGACAGGCAGATTTACAAAGAGAAGGAGAGACAGAGAAAGATCTTCTCTTTGTTGGTTTACTCCCCAAATGACCATCTTCCACTGTCTTAACAAGCCTTAAGCAGGGACCTGGATCAGATGTGGAGCAGCTGGGACACAAACTGGTGCCCATATGGGATGTTGGTATTTCAAGGTGGAAGATTAGCCTATTAAACCATGATGCCTGCTCTGAAAAGCATATGTTACTGATATAATTTCACTTAAATATTTATTAATGTGATAGTCAAAAGTATCTTTTATGTGAGAAAATTAAAATGCGTTCTCCACGGAGAGACATAGAGGAGCAGTTTTGAGATTCTGTCAGTCTAAAATACTTTCCCAGGATGGCAGAAATGAATACATTGTAGCTCCACAGGGGAAAGCAGTAGATTTGAACACTAAGTAGCTTCTGTTACTATGAAAGTGTACATTTGATATCAATCTCAAATTTTCAAAATAGTAAATCAACTTGATTATATAGTTTGTTTCCTACTTAAATTTATGTAATACTTAAAGTTAAGTTTGTTTACTTTTAAGGTATATTCACATTATTTGGATTAGATGTCATCATCCTGAACACTTATCAAGGTGAACATAATTTCTAATGAAATTTAATTTTGTTGCATTTAAAAGGGTGCAGCACATAGGGATAGACTGATTTTCTAAGGAAGTTTCTCTGTGTATTGTTATTGGTAGTTTAGTGTGGTTAAATAATCAACCAATATAGCAAAACTGGCTAATAAAAAAAGCAAAAAACAAAGTTCTCACACAGATTGACCTGTAAAACTAATGTGGATATTTTTTTCTACCCTTTAGAGGAAAAGGAGAAAAACAGAAAATATTCTCCTGAAGAAATTCAGAGAAAAAGACAAGAAGCATTGGTTCGAAGAATGACCAAAGCACAGGCATCATTTGTAAATACAACTCCCACTTGATTTCTTTAATGAAATATTACTTGGAAGACCTTATGAAGACTATGAAAACTATCTGTGATAGGAAATCATATTTTTATTTCTCTGTGAGAAATTTAATGCTAACTTATTAAGCATGGACTTTACTTTGTTATTTAATAAATCAGTGTTTAAGTACTAGTTGAAACCTTTTTTGGAGATATATATGAAAGTAATTACTTTGAAGTTTTGGAAACTCTGGAATGTAAATAATTATGTAGTAAAATACAGAGGAACACAGATTAATTTTTAAATATTATAAATGATGAATCATTAACATAAATAATTTGCTTAATTTTCTAATGTCTTCCAAATACAAAATTCCAACTTACTAAGTACAGTTTGTTTTTCATTTAATAGTATTCTTAATTCCTACTCCGAAGGGGCTTTAAATCTTAGTATTTCTAGAATGTGATGCATTTTGAAAACTGTCAGTTTTAGGAAAAACACTAAAAGAGGAAGATATGCATTCAGTATGTAAGTAGTATAGAATCAGTTTAGAATGGTTAGAAACTTTAAGTATCATTTGACCCAACTGCGTTAGGTGAAATGGTACTGTTAGTTTCAGAGTTATAATCAACTTAATGGTGTGCTGGGATAAGAATGATTTTTCTTGCCATCTGTACAGTTGAATTGTATGCTTAAAATTATTTATATACAGAATTGAGGGAGCATTGTTTTATAGCAAAAATTACATAATTAAAAAATAATTATAAGCATATTAAGTGCCATAGGAACAATAAAGTTATTGGATTTTTTTTTAAAAAGAGGATTAGGTTTTCCAAGATGTAAAGATCAGACTTTCCCTTTTGATTTTCCTATTACTATTCAGTTTCCTCCTGTTAATTTACTATTCTGGTTTGAAAATAATTTGGGTTCCCACTCAAAAAGGACCATGTGTAAAGTCTTGATCTGAAATTTTATGTTAATGGATTAAGAATGGAACTTAATTTATGGTGTAAGAAGATGGGCCTTATCATCATAGCTTAGAGAAGACACGGGGGTCAGGAGGAAATAGTGTCCTCTCCATGTCTGCCTTCGAATGTTTCTGCTTCATGATTTGCCATTTGTTCCTTCCTCCTCATTAGAGGCCAGACCAGGGGAGCCATGTAACCTTGCATTATGATCCTCCAACAGTGTAACCTTAAGTAAACCTTCTACCTGTTAGTTCCTCTCAACCATTTTAGTGAGCAATGAGAGGCTGAAAAATTATACTCATTTTACTAATATTTTCTTCTCTATATTTTTCCTTTGTTGCCTGTTTGGAATTTGCTGAGCCTGTGATAGAAGTCTAACCAGAGGACATAAGGAAGTAAGGAAGCTTTATTCCATCAAAATAGCTTTATGACACCTAAGGAAATTTATAGATAGGAAACATTTATTGTAGTGTGGTGCTCACCCTATTCTGGTTATCTTAGAGCTATGACCTTTTAATGGTTTTGTTCTATTGCTCTGTGTGATTTTGCAAATGGTTTATTCATATGTACACGTTTTGGATAGCATATTATTTGTTTAAGAGCGGATTATAACCTCAGTAAATATACATAACTTTATGTAAGACAATGAAGAGCTGAGTTACACATATGGTGGTTTCACTGCATTCTGGCTCTGCTTTGTATGTGTTTTTCTTAAGCTCTTCCCTGCTTACTCTTTGGTTTTTAGACCAATTTGAGGCTGCTCTGTCTATTCATTTGGAATTGGACTTACAACTTTGTTTCTTTGAAAATCAGACTTGACCATTGTCACTAGAGTTGATTTCTTCTTTCTCGGCATGATGATGCTTATTTCTTAGATCTTTCATGGATGGATTTTTAAATGCCTTACTTAGAGCTTAATAGCATTTTTAACAGCTTGTAATTTTGGCCTGTTTTCATAAATCCACTATATTCTCATACTGCTCGCACAGTGTTACTTACATAACAGTTTTCTCTGAGTGACTCTTTTTTCTTAAAAGAAGTTTTATAGTCCTTGCTGGTGATGGATATAGTCAACCATCATCTGAGGCTGATCATCATATTGTTTGCAGGCTCATCGCTGTTGTTTATGACACTTTGTTCTATTCCAGTTCATCTTCCTTCAGCCAGTGTTGGGTGTACTAAGGGCTGAGTGGCCTATGTGAACAGAGAACTGCCTGCACAATTTTGCTGCCTTGACTTCCCAGTCTGTGGGGAATCTGTCTCTATAGGGGAATAGGGCAGCTGGTAGTCCTGACTGCACTCTTCTAGCTACTGTTTATACATCTTAGAAACATTGATCATAGTTATCGCATTATTGCAGGGAAGAGACTACTACAGAGTAAAGCCTAGCTCTCCTTTTTTCCTGTTCTCAACAGGCTTCTATGATTGCAGGACTAACTGAATTACTACAAAGTAAATGGTATGTATGTAGATCATTACTACACCATCGGAAACATTGCCTTATTTCATTATGCACTAACCTATTACCAGATTTTAAGTCAGCAAGAGCAAAGATAATTTACTTACTGTCTACTTCAGATAGCTTTTGGTTACTTTTTAGAGGTTCAATAAACAGACAAACTAGGATGGAGTTTATCTTGTTCCACTTGAAGCAACTTCTTTCCCAATATCTGACCTATATTTAGAATTGGAAAACGTTTTTAGGTACAATTTAAATTTGGCTTAACACTGTTGTAAGCAATACTTTGTTTAAAATATGACCGTGGTTGCTCAGTTATTCCAAGGTGTGAACACTTGTAGCATTCAAAAACAGAATAGGCCTTCTGCCTTCTCCTAGGCCTCATCAGTGAGAGTGTGTGGGGATTGGTTCCAGTGTATCTTACAAGTCCATTGAAAATCATGCAGTTAGAAAAAAGTTGGAACTGGAGATGGAACTCAGGTAGTCTAATTCCAAGTATGATAATAACCATGAATGTACTATCATCACCAGTGGAAATAATCAGAAAAACCACTGATCTATGAAAATTGCCAATAAAGAAAAAATTAAAACATTTCAGGCATTTGTGAGAATAATCTCCTGAGTATACTGTAGGTCTCTGAAAAAGTGAAGAAAAATGTTTTCAATCTTAATTTGTTAAATATTACATATTATATGAAATCTAGTTAGGGGCCCTTATATAAAATTCAGGTATTAAAAAAATAAGATACATACATAAAATTCATAACAACTTTTAAAAATTATTTACTTTACTTAATTATTTTAATAAATTCTGTTGAGAAAAACTTTCCTAGTTACAGATGAAATGGCATGTTTCAGGTGGCTCATCATGCATCTAAGTAGTAACATTCAAGTTTCTGGGTAGATACATACAGTATAGGGGAATTGGATTCCAACATTACAGTCCTGGAGTTGTTTCTTTATATATATATATATATATATATATATTAAGCTGAGAATAATTAAAAAGAATTAAAAAGAATTGCTTGTGTAGGTAACTATATATTGATATTTATTACTAGTTTTAAAACAACACTATATATTAACAAACAGCTTGTGAAAACAAATGTTAAAACAAAAAATTGATAAAAATAGTGGTATTTATTTTGGCAAATCTTTGATATCTGGCTTTATAGAAGATAACTAGACTCAATGTTTCTTTTTAGTTTGTTATAATATATTGTTCTAGTTGGAATATGTGAGGAAAATCCAATTTCAGTTAAAGAGTTTTTGGGGAGAGGAAAAAATGTTTTATCTTTTCAGAGAATTGTGGTTTTTGATATTTCACCAAAATAAATTAAGTTCCAAGTCAGAGTAACAAGGGCCATATATGTCTTTCTGACAGAAGCAGTGAAATACAAAAAGATTTTCTTAAAGTAGAATTCAAGACATTAGACATTAGGCAATTAGGAATGCAGAAATATGGATCTGCATAAAAGAAATGACGAGCATTGAACATAGTAAAAATTAAGTTGTTTACAGCATTGATTAAACAAAATTTATCTTGTAGTTTGTAACAATGGAAGCATTATGTACATGACAATAGCATGAAGGCCAACAGGAAAAATATGACAGTAAGTGCTTATTTATGCTCTGGACATGTATGAAATTCAATTGTATAACACCAGCCCAGCCATTTTCTTGGAGCAAGTCACCTGGAACCAACGGGGAGGAAATGCCATCTGAATAAGGTGAGCAGAGGATGCTACAGCCCATGTACAACTGCAGAATTTTATTGGAGGGATAGATCCATGGTTCCTGCTAACTTTGCATCTGGGTTGGCAGGAAGGGCACCCATTTAGACTCAAAGCTCTCCCCTGCCTATCCTTCCATTATGTCCCAACAGTACGTGTCAATGCAGAGCACTAGCTAACCCCCATCGGTTAGGCAGCTGACTCTGGAGATGCCACAGCTCTTTTAGTAGAAGGCTTGGACTGAGGGTTGAACCTCTTCCCCTTGTGTCTATTGGAAACCTGTGCCTTGTGACTGGGAATTTAGTGACTGAGTAGGGACTGGTGCTTGATTTTGGGGGGCAATTGCTGTGTCTGGCTTCAGAAGTTTGGGGTTATTCACTCACACTGAGGAGTACACAGATCCTTTGTGTAGTTCAGCTGCCTGCATGGTTGAGGTACCTGGTCACTAAGGCTGAAGGCAGGCTTACCCTGGGTAGTAGGTCCACTTTGGCATAGAGGTACTGATCCTAGGATCACACCAACTAATGTGGTCATACTCTTGCCCCACCTATTGCCCTTGGCCAAAGTTGCCTAACCAGTCTCAGTGTGTGCATCTGAAAGCCCTGTGAAGAAACATACTCCACTAAGCCATAGAGACATATTTCAAACGTAAAAGCAATCGTAGGAGAAAGCAGTAAATGTTTCCTCAAACGACTAAAACATAAAAATGCATGAAACATGAACAACAACAAAAACCAGTAATACTCCCTCAAAGGAACACAGCACTCTGGTGTTAGAATGTGAGGAAAGACTGTTATATGTCTGGGAAGGAATTTGAAAGAATGATCATAAAAGTAACTCAAAACATGGAAAAGCAAGTACATGAAATAAATCCATAGATGATGTGGATGAAAAATTCTTCCAGGAGATAGAGACTGAAGAGAAATCAAGCTGAAGTATTAGAAATGAATAACAATCTGTCAAATAGAAAATACAATAAAAAGCCTTAATAGACTTGCTAAGGCAGAATGTAGAGTATACAAGGTAGAAGACAAATCCATGGAAACACGAAAAGAAAAAGGAACAAAAACTAGTAGTTGAGATTTATGGAATAGTATCAAATACCCAGACCAAAATACCAAACATATGTGTCTTAGGAGTTCCTGAAGCAGTGAAGAGAAATGGAACAGAAGA